AAAAACCAAAAAAAAAAAAAAAAAAAAAAAAAATGGACAGAGGAACAGTACCTTCCCTGCAGTACTATCAGATAATATTATTAATTTAGCTGGCTGAGCTTGAGTGCTAGGTACCGAAAGAATGGTCAGCAGTCAGTTTGGTTGGCTCTCTCCGTTATCCTTAGCAGTCTGAAGCATCCCAATCCCCAACTCCACCTGAGTCCCCTTAATACTGTCCAAAGTTTTGCCTCTCATTGGCTATCCAAGAAGATGGGGACCAGTTTTTGATAGCCAGCCACTTAATTTTAAACAGAGCTGATGGCTACAAAGTGGGTTTTTTGTTTTGTTTTGGTTTTGCTGTTGTTTGTTTTAGACATTGAGCAGATCCTTTTCTAGTAACTTCTGTGGAAAAGGTTGAGAACTTAGCAAACAGAAACACAGGGTGCTTATTTGGAACACATACTAACAATTATAACATTATTTGTGGTTTATCTGAAGTTAGAATTTAGCCAGGAACCCTGTATTTTATCTGACTTCCTTCTCTGTAGGTCCAAGGTCAACCTCTTGAGACAACATGGAAAAAAACTCTCTTCTCATCTTCTACCTGACAACAAAAACCCCCTTCTCTCAAAAACCGTCACACAGCCACCCCATGCCCCCTCATCCTGGACTATCTTCTTTGGACTAGTCAGGCCTCTCATGAGAACAGCCAGACAAAAAAGTAATCATAAGACATATGACTGCCTCGCTTCTTCTAGACAGTATTTGCTTTTAATTTCCAAACAGTTGCTGACTGACTCCTAATGAGAGTCTGGCCATAGAGCCGAGTTAAATGTTACTATGTATTCATGGCTGTTTCCAGTGAGACCTGGGGTGTATGGAGTGACAAACCCAGGAATCCTGGTCTCTCTGGTAATAACTCCCCTTCAAACTTCGTAAACACGGCCTAAGGTAACTTACTAACTCTACGCCATCACCTTACAAGAACCCGCCTCTGGAGCCTCCGGGACCCTATCAGCAAGAAGGCTAGAGCCACTTAAACAGGAAGTCTGCCCACCTGACTTCCCGGATGGGTAGGATGCTTTGGGTTCAGACTTGGAAGGCATCAGGCACGGAGCTGAGGCACGGGGCTCCTCAACTTGGAGAACCTGGGATATAGGCGGTTGCGGTATAGGCTCAGGGTTAGCTTGTGGTGGAGTGGACTCCTGGCAAGGCTGCGGCTGCGGCGGTGGCGAGGCAGGCTCTGGGCATGATGGCGGGGTTTCCGAGCTGTGCTGCTGGGAGGAGTCGGAGCTGGCCTGCGGTGAAATGGAATCCCTGCGGCGCCTGGAGTCAGACTTTTTCTTTTTGACCTTCTTCATGGTGGTCCTTCTAGACTAACACCGTGGAGCTACATGGAGCTGTGGATTCCCTGGCTCCCTCCCTAGGGAGGCCGTCTCCCTTATGGGTATCGCTCTGGTCTTTGACCACAGCAAGGTCCCACAGACAAGAGTCACCCATACCTCCTGTGAGGTCACAAAAGCTAGGGTGGATCCCATGGCTAGGGCTCTGGCATAGTCTTCCCTGTAGCCTCTTTCCTCTTCCAGGGCTTCCTGCTGGAACAGGCCGGGGGCAGCAGCTGCCCTAGCTCTTCGTGGCCTGATTAAGACAGTCTCTGGGCCTCTGACAACCGGATCCCCTTGATTCTGTGACCAGAACACCCATTTCGGGCGCCTTTCCAACTGCATGTTCCTGGGTCCATGTGAGCTATTTTTTATTCGATAGGATTCTCAGCTCTGTTACTGGTTTCCACATGTCTATCCCCAAACACAAACATCTCTGGTCGCCGTATATTTATTAAGTTTTTAGGGAACTTTCCTGAAGATTTGGCTTCTTTTAGAACTTTACCTCCCACAGCCCACTGCCTCTGTCATCCCTGAAATTCTTCCTCTTCATCATGGGAGGGGACTGTGGGTACATGAGTGTGTGTGTGTGTGTGTGTGTGAGAGAGAGAGAGAGAGAGAGAGAGAGAGAGAGAGAGAGACAGAGACAGACAGACACACACACACAGAGAACTTTTATATGAACCCTTGAATTTGGCCAAGAATTCGACCTTAACCCAGCTCTCAGAAAATGAATAGTTTCACTGTTACATCGGTGAAACAGACTTCCTCCCTCCCAAGACGCTGGTTGGGTCCAATAGACTATGAATCTTCCTCCAAATCAATGTGTCTCTCATTTTAGGGCGGAAAGTGAAAGGCATTTTGAAAATACAGCCTAAATGTCACACACCAGGACAGAAAAATGTGCTCCCAGCAAGACAGAATTTCCTCCCATGAACTAGGTAAGCCGTGTGGGTAAGTAACCTGCCCTAGTCAGAGTCCCACAACTGTTTGGGGGGGGGGACGACACAAGGTCAGGGGAGAGCTAGCAAGCCAAAAATGTCCTATAGCAGCCCCCCACCAAGGCCAGACTAGATATCAGCAGGGAAACGAGACCATCTATTTTCAGGCTTCTAGAGCCAGCAAAGACTTTACCAGTTATATCATCCTCATCCTCATCCTCATCATCATCATCATTTAACATTATTGTTTTGCTAAAAAGGATACTGAGGTTCAGAAAGTTAAATTACATAATACCTCCCCACCCGGCTGCTTGTCAGCACACTCAGGACTAAATTTCAATTAAGGGTCCTTTTTCTTTGTGACTCCAGCCAGCAGTAGGGAATCAGATTATACAGGCTTTGAAATTAATGAATTGAAAAAAAAAGTTCCTAGCATGAGAAGATTGAAGAAAGGTATGGAGAATTGGAAGTTTAAAGCTCAGATCAGTGGCATCAAGGTTTGTTTGTTTGTTTGTTTTGGAGTAAGGGGGTCCAGTGGGCAGTTTCTTGAGGGCCAGAGCAATGGACCAGTTGAGGGGATGCCATTTAGAATCAAAGAGACTGGAAGTCTGAATGATGCACATCTTGGCTAAATTGCCTTTTCAGTCACTGAAAGACGTTGCCGGAGGAGCTTAACTGGGCTTAAGCCAGTTCCTCAGTCTCAGATGTGATCGATGCTATGCGTTGGATCACGTCTCCTGCAGGAGACTGTGCTGTGTGTCATAGGAACCTCTGCCCCTCTGGCCTTGACTGGTCAGCACCCTATCAGGATAACTAAAAGCATCTCTAGATTGTGGCTAAATACCGCCAGAGCTTTGAGGAGGTGGTAACATTGTTTCTGGTTGAGAACAACTGGTTTAAACGAGTCAAATGGGGGCAGGGACATACACATATGGGGACAATGTCCTAATAGGCATGAAATGGCTATTCCATTTCACCAAAAGAGAGGCCACACGCACGGGACACACAGGCTGTGTTCCGGAGAGACGGATGACAGAATACAGACTGAGGAGTGCTTCTACCATTAAGAAGAAAATATGTGGTTCAGAAGCTGGGCGAAGTCTTCGTGGGAGTTCCCCGCCAAGAGCCTGGCTCCTCTACAGAGCAGTCACAGGGCACTAGCCTGGTTCTAGCTTTGTCTTAGATTTCATTTCCCCAACCCCCAGAACTGGGCAAGAACAGCCAGCAGGGTTTATACAAGCTGTCTAAATTGAGAGAGAGAAAGGAGGACTGAGCACAGTCCTACCAGGCAGAGACGGGGACCTTTTACTACTAAGAGGCTGTTGCCAAAGATGGACTAGGATTTTTGTAGTCCCTGCTGAGGGTCACAGTCGGAATGGCCATCAGCGGGGGCTTTTCTTAAGCAGGAGCGCCGACCATGTGAAACATATGTCAGCAGCTGTTTAGGAAAAGAATAAGTTTAAAAGGTCGGGGGATAGGTAGTGAGGTTACAAGGTCTTGAAAGTGATAATACCCTTCCCCCTCAACTGCCCCTGAGCTTCTGGCCTTTCAGTGTGTTCTGGACACTAGAATGAGTGTGTCACTGTGTATCCTGAAGCTAGCCTCTTTGTGCTGAATCTGGTATCAAGCAGCCTTTCATCCTTGCATGTCATGTGGGAGGGTGATGGGTCTGAAGAGAGGGAGCTTGGCCACTGGCTGAAAAGTGGCAGAGACTCTGTAAGGCGGCATTGAGGCTCCTGTGCTCAGAACATTTTTCTGATCTCTATGCTGTCCCTGAAAGGAGCTTCTGGAAACAGAAAGTGCTGGCAGCTCATGTTAAGATCCTTCTGCTCAAGGACCCTAGGCCACAAATTAGCCCCCAGGGCCACAGGGAGGGCCTTAGGGGTTTGGGTAAAATTGCTCTCCTGAAGTTCCAGCCTTAGAGAGCTGCTGTGAAGCCTGGAGGTGGGAGCCCTTTGCAAGCTGCTGGCTCACAATCGGCTGTTTTATTGACATTTTTATCCCCCCGAGGAGTAGCAAGAGGTAAGTAGCCCACTAAAGAACCAGGAAGGGCATCGATCAGTGAATTTGGAGAGGAGAGGGTGGGCTATTATAGGTCCTACAACACCCCATCAGGATGTTATAAAAGCATGATTTCTCCTAAACTGTGGGCAGGGCAGATGGGTGGGAGAGGTAACCCTCTGGGTTAACTTGAGCGCTTTCAGATTGTCCCAGCCCGCGCATCTTGGGAAAAGGATGCTGGCTCATTACCATTCAAATTGTACCCCCAAACTTCTGCAGGCGCCAACACAGGGCAGTAGGGCAGGGATTTGCTCGCTTCTCAGGGGAACAATAGTCCCAGTCTCCACCCTCGGGCCCCTCACCATCCGTCTGGGTCTGGCGATCCACTTGGGTGTCCATGTGCGCTTGACTGGCAGCGCGCTGGACATCCAGGACACCCTGGGAGCGGCTGGGACAGAACACTGCTGTGTGCACCTCGACCCCTGGGTTCTCTGAAGCGAAGACGCTGCAGAGCAGTTCCTCCAGACGGCGGCGCGACTCTGCCTCCTCATCCGGCCGCGGATGCACCAGGATTCCGACGAGCGCGGCTGGCGGGCGGCGGTCCTGGATGCGCACCTGCTGCAGGAGCAGCTGCAGCCGCGGCAGCTGCGTGCCCAGCGCCGACGCGTGGCACAGCACCAGGAGCAGCTGCTTGCCAGGCTCCGAGCCTAGTTCGGCGATCTCTGCCGTCTCCGACCTGGGGGCCTCGGGTAGAGCTCGAGGCGCCTCGCAATCGGGCAAGTCCTTTTCCTTGAGATCCGAGAGTTGCTGCTTCTCCAGCTTCTCCGGCTTCTCCGCCCTCTCCGACTTCTCCGCCAGGCACTTGGACTTGGTGGCCGGGGCTTCGGGGCTGTCTGCCAAGCAGTCGCCGGTACGCTTGAGTCCCCGCTTGGCACTGCTGGACCTACGTTGGCAGTCTGTTGCTTGGCTGCAGGTGGGCTCAGCGTTCGGATCCTTCGGAGGCTGACCCGGAAAGTTCTGCAGGGTTGTGTAGCTCTCCTCCTGCTTCAAGAACTCTCTTATTAGCAGCACCCGACCGCGGCCCGAGACAGTCTGACTTAGGGTCTCCGGCTGAGCCTCGACCTTCTTCTTCTGGGCCCTTGAGGGCTGCTCCCCAGGCCTCTGTTCCATGTCGGTCCGGCTCCCTTGCCCCAATGGGCGGGAGGCTTGGTTGGCCAAAGGGAAAACTGCCTTTCCCTTGGAGCATGTCACAATACCCCTCGGTCTTACCGCCTCGTGCCGCAGGCAGCCAAAGGCCTCTATCCCACTATTCCTTGAGAATCTTCCAACATCGGGAAACTGATATTGGAAGCTGGGATAATACATGCTGACCTTGGGGCCGAGTGTGTGTGTGTGTGTGTGTGTGTGTGTGTGTGTGTGTGTGTGTGTGTGTGTGTGTGTGAATTTAAGGCACATCTTTTCAGACGGTAGATGGACATTTTAAGAACTGGACCAGATGAGGTCTGCACATAACAACCACAAAGACTGGGATCCTGGTAGTTGGGTAATTTGTTCCTTTTGTTAATTTTCCTGTAAAAACGAGCCTTGGATTTTTTTTTCTTTGACAGGGTTTCTCTGTGTAGCTTTGGAGCCTATCCTAGAACTCGCTCTGTAGACCAGGCTGGCCTCGAACTCACAGAGATCTGCCTGCTTCTGCCTCCTGAGTGCTGGGATTAAAGGCGTGCGCCACCACCCCCAGCTATTTTTTTTTTTAATATAAAAGTAAAAACAGGCAGGGTGGTGGTGGCACACGCCTTTGATCCCAGCACTCGGATGGCTGGATCTCTGTAAGTTGGAAGCCAATTTGGTTTACAAAGTGAGTTCCAGGACAGCTAGGGCTGTTATACAGAGAAACCCTATCTTGGAGGGGAAAAAATTATATGTATATACATATACATACATACATACATACATACATACATACATACACAAGGTGAGCCGATAGCCAGAAAACCCTGATCTGAAATCCCATTAAAAATTCCAAAGCCCTGAGGCAAGTCCAGGCAAAGCCAGAATGGCCAGCCTTGGCGAAACCAAACTAGTGGTGACGTCTGCTCCCATCCTAGTTTTCAGCCTTTGTCCAAAGACACTCAGCTACCCTCCACAGCCAGACTCCAAGTCCCTTCCATTTAACTGAGCAAATCTGAAAGGCACCACTATCAACTCACGGGCTGGCCTTTCTCTAGGGAGCTGGGTGAAGGAGCGATGCCGTCTGAGACTGAGGTCTCCATGGTAGCAGGAAGCCTTACCTAGGTTGTGACCTTTGCTTTCTAATCCAGTTTGTATGAAAATGTCCTGCAGGGCGGTGGTGGCACTTGCCTTTAATCCAGCATTCGGGAGGTAGAGGCAGGTGGATCTCTGTGAGTTTGAGGCCAGCCTGGTCTACAGATCAAGATCCAGCACAGGCACCAAAACTACACAGAGAAACCCTGTCTCGAAAAACAAACAAGAAAAAGAAAGAAAGAAAGAAAGAAAGAAAGAAAGAAAGAAAGAAAGAAAGAAAGAAAGAAAGAAAGAAAGAAAAGAAAAAGTCCTAAATTGGGGCGGATTGCTTAGGAAAGGAGCAGAGGTCTCAGACTCTGGAGATCTGAACAGCTTCGTCCCCTCCGCAGCTGTTCATCAGGTCAACTTCAGTTGGAGCTGTCAGAGGCTCCTTATACAGGCCTGGCGTGGGGCACTCTCCTTCATCAGCCCCTGGCACACTGAAGCCACAGTGTGGCGGAGAAACAGAGAGGTGTCAGGTCTACCAGACTCTGTGAGACTTTTGGGAGGTGGGTAGAAGATGAGAGTTAGCTGGTCGGTCCCTAGGGCTGTCAGGGTCCCTAAGGTCCTATCGTTTAAGGAAGGGGAGGAGACTTTGGCAAGAAGTGGCATTAAAGACAAGGGCTCCATCACATCAGCTAGTGTTAAGTAATGAATATTGGGGTTAATGGGTTTTAACTCCTTGGTTGCATTTAAGTTGATATAATGGAGAGATCTAAAAACACAGGACTTAGAAATAATCCTTTATTTCTTCTATTGTCAGTGATGCAGGCCCTTCACCACACTCAACAGTGGACCTTCTTTTGCTGGTCCTGGGTTCTATAGCTTCTGGCTAGCAAAAGGATTAGAAAGGAAGGAGAGGAAGGCAGTCTCTTTTATGGCCCAGGACTTGAAAAGTGGATGCATCATTTCTGTTCATCTTGCATGGGCAACCCAGGTTGGAAAATAAAGCCTCCACTTGACTGGTTAAGTACCAGTTCCACCCTTGGGAGTGAGAGGGCTTGATCATATGTGAGACACTTGTCTGGCACCTCATGGGCATATGTGACATTTGAGAAAGAATTGTCTTTAACTAAAAACATTGTATTTATGTGTGTGTACCTGCTGATCTGTATATACACTATATGTGTGCAGTACTTGTGGAGTCCAGAAGAGGGCACTGGATCCCCTGGAATCCAGTTACAGGTGGTTGTGAATTGCTAGGTATAGTTGGGAATTGAGCCTGGGTCCTTTGCAAGAGCAGCCAGTGTTCTTAACTGCTGAACCATCTCTTCAGCCCTGAGAAAGGATTTTCTGATTCTTTTGAATAAAAAAAATTGAATATCATTATAGTTAATTTTTACTTATTTCAGAATTATTTTAAACAATGATATGCTTGGCTATATTAAAAAACAAACAAAAGACATTGCAGTTTTTTTTGCTTTTTGTTGTTATTGTTATTTTGTGTTTTGCTTGGACCAGTATGTCAGGGGAATGCCACTCTTCTGGCCCCATGAAGAGGTCTACATGGTTAGAGATTGAGGCCTCCTACAGCAGTTATTAAACACACCATCTTGGAAGTGTTCAGTCCCAGTCAATCTTAAAGAACTGGAGCCTTCATATGTATCTTGTCTGCAACTTTAGGAAAGACTCCAACTAGAACTACTCACTTGAGCTGCACTATGGTTTCTGACCCCCAGATTCAGGCTGAGATGACATTGGTTTACCTCATTAAGTTCTGAGGTAATTATAATTTACATAACAATAGATAACTAGTACAATTACTATTCCTAATCTACACTAACTATTGTAGGAACTTTATAAACATGCAGCCTGTGTGAGATTCCATCATTGCCATAGTTCTGTGTGCCAACCTGTTGGCCTCACAGATGTCCTCATTCTAGCCTATGACGAATATGTTAGGTTACCCAAGGAAGGGATGAAAAGTTAGTTTTAGAGCAGATTATTCTGAATTTCCCCCAGGTGGGTCTATTCTAATTCCAAAGGCCCTCAAAAGAGAGGCTGAGGAAATAGGACTGTAGAGGAAAGTCAGGACATTGGCTTTGAAGATCAAATGGAACCGAGAGTCCAAGGACTGGGGGTAGTCTTTAGAAGTTGGAAATGGGGAGGGAAATGGATTCTCTCCAGCCTCTAGAGAGGACTGCAGCTCAGAATTAAATTCAACCACAAAGATGCACTGGTTTAAGCCAGTGCAGTTGTGGCGTATCATAAGAAGGGACCACAAAATCATATAACCAGAAAATGGCAGAGCAAGGGATCATGTTAGTATGTCTGACCCAAAGCCCTCTTTCTCTCCACAGAAACCCCAAACTCACTTTTATTCCTTACTCCATCCCCACACACCAGATATGGGAGACTCTTTCCTTTTCTGGGGTTTATTTTTTGTCATGAAGTTTTTGAATGCCTGTTATGTGCAAGAAATTTGAGCATATCCCATAAAATGTGAGAGAGATCCTGATAGGTATGAGTTTTCCCACCACGTGCAGGTTGTCACCTAGTGAGGGAAGAGATTGACTGAACCCACAGTGATCACCATGGTTACCATGGTTACCATATTCCACTGTGTCACAATTAAAAGGTTTAACTGAGCTCCAGGCAGCATGCAAGATGACAGAGCTGGCGACTAGGGGAGGGTTAGACCCACAGTGTGAGTCCTGAGATTGAGGGGTTAGACTGAGGACAGCCCCACCCGGGCTTTTCTGTATTGTGAACTGAGGCTGGTGCGTCTCCTGGAATGTCACAGCCAGAAGCATGGGCATCCCTGGAGGTAAAGCCAGGGAAGGAACAGAAAAGACTCTTGGGCTGAGGATAACAGAAGAGCTTGGGAGACTACAGTCTCCAATATCTCAAAGTCCAGGTCATCAGAAAACACTGTTAAGGGTGTAGAGTTGTCGATTTAGCAAATACACAAAAAGGCACCTAAAATTGAATTTTAAATCAATTACTAATAATTGTCCCCATGCAATTATTCTTTATGGACCTTAAATCCAAATTTATCTGGGTGCCCTGAATCTTTATTGGCAAATTGATATGGGATTTTCTTTCTGTTTGCCTGTGTTTTGAAGAAACAAGTGTATGGTACTTTAATTTTTAGAACTTGTAATACACATAATGCAAAAATTGTACACATTTCTCGGGTAATATGAAGCACATTATTTTTTAAAAAGAAAAGAGAAAGGGCCTCGAGTTCTTCTGTGTTGAACAGGAGGAATTGCGTCCTCTGCCCAGTTAGGGAAACTAAAACCTTGCACCCTGGCCCCGGCGTGGGCTCTGGCAGAGAAACCGCTACCACCAGGGGGCGCTGCGTGGCTGCAGGTCAGAGGACTAGAGGCCCAGTCGCCTGCTCTTTGATCTAGGTGGCTCTGGGGAGTCCCCAGGGGCAGGACAGATGCCTGAAGAACTGTGTGCAAAGCTGGAGCTTTCCTCAAAGTTTGTCCTGCTCGGCTTTTCAAAGTCTCAGGACTGCTGTGGCCGGAGGAGTAAGAGGTGCTGGAACCAAGGGATTAGTCCATTGCCGGGGATAGGGGTGGGGATGGGGGTCTCCGTCCCTCGGAGTTCCTTTCTCGGGTTAATTCCTCCAGGGGATCCAGCTCCAGTCCTGGAACCCTCAACTCTCAGCTGACTCCAAAGATTGAAGGGGCGGTGATTCGCCTTCTGGGGAGAAGGGAGCGAGCTGGAAGGGAGACAGCCGCAGAGTGGGTACGGGAGGACAAAGACATTGTGACTTTACCACGCAGCTTGATTTTGTGTCCACACCTTTGGCCTAGTGTGTCCTGAGTAAGAGATATTCAGTGAATACTTTCAATTAGTCCAGCTCGTGGAGGCCTCCCAGTTCGCAGTTATGATCCACCTGTCTTAGGGAAGTGAAGCCTGCGGAAAGGGAGGGGCCGGTGCTGGCAGGGAGATCCATTCCTACCCAGGCACAGACCACAGCCCTGGGCTGCTCAGGGGCGCGGGTGCTTTGAGGGTTGTGGGAGATGAGGTTGGAAGTGTTGGGGGAGGTGGGAGGATGAGGGGTTAGGATATCATGGTGTAGATCCAGCAATCCTCAGAGTGAAAGAATCCAGATGGAGGAGAGGACAACAGGAAGAGCCCTGTCCTTAGGATAGACTTTTAGATAGACTCAGTCGGGAAGAGCCTCAGCCTGGAAGCAGTGAAGACACAGAGAAAGGCAGAGAGGTGACTCAGCTCCCTGTTAATTTTTCACCCATAATTCCTTTCGTGTAAAGGGATTGAGTGGTCTCTGAATGAATCCCTTGGAATAGTAAGAGCACAGGTATAGACATCACCCTCTCCTCTTCACCCAGAGACTTGGACCCAGCACCTGCCCTGCTCTGTGGCCCACTCAAGCAGTCTCAAAGGGCTTTCCTTCTGTCCTTGAGAGGCCAGGCCCACCTTGGCTCAGCCACAAACATGACATGCTATGAATTCCCTACAATGTGGGAAAGCTAACTTCTGGGGGTGGAGTAGGGGAAGATAAAGATCTCTAAAGAGCACATTTCTTTCTTGCTACTTCCCACCCATACTTCAATCCAGACCTGCCCAGGGCATGGGAGCCTCTCGTTCAATGTGAGGTGGCTAGCGGATGTTCCTCTGGATCATGGAGGTGTTGGCTCCTTTGGTTTACAGGATGACTTGGGCCACAGACATTTTAGCTCCATGCACTGACTTTTGTGCCTCTTTCTCCCCCACTTCTAGGCATCAGGGACAGAACAGTTCCAAAGCTGATGTGCAAAAGCCATCACATGGCAGCTCAGGATTCATTGCCAAGGATCATTTGCACAGAACTGGTGCAGGTCAGACAAGCAACACCAATGCCAGGAGCCATAAATTCCACGAAAGGCAAGACATTTTGGTTCTGAGTTACTGAGCAAAGAACTTAAGTGCAGGGGGTGTGGGAACAGCCATTGAAGAGAGGACCATTTGCATAGATGGAGTCCACCAGCATTTCCCAGAATGCTTTTTGTTTTCTACAGTGGTGAGAACTTGTGGCAGAGATGGGTTTCTCAGTGTAGTTCCAGAATGAGTGGTGTTTGCCACAAGACGCCGTCACCAAGTCAGAGAGCAAGCAAGTTAAACCACTGCCTCCCATCCCTGATGGTTTGCTAACAAAGTCTCATGTCCAAATTACAATTCCTGGGAAGACAACCTTATTTGGAAATAGGGTCTGTGTAAATATCAGAAGAACCTCGAAAGGAAATGATTCATAGGACCACTATCTGTATGAACCCCCAATCCAAAGAGATGTGTCCTTCGAAAGACGTTCAGAGGAGATGCACAGAGGAAGAGATGGAGGCAGAGGCTGAGATTAGAATGTTACAGTCACAAGCCAAGGTCACCGGAAGCCATCAGCTGGAAGAGGCAAGAGCAGGCTGTTCTCTTGTCTCCGGAGGGAGTGTGGCACGGCCAACACCTTCCCTTAGGGGGTGGGTCTTCAGTTGAAAGTTTTTGTTGTTTTAAGTTACCAGGTTTGTGCTCTTGTGTTTCAGGAGCCCCAGGGAGTGAGTACACCACCTGCCCATGTTGTCTGATTCCTGGGGTGCTTGTCCCCCCCCCCCTTCTTCCATGTGCGATCTTTTTCATCACTCCTTTGAGGTGTCTGCCTGGAGGAGCGTCTCCATCCCACTGATGCATTATCCATACAACACATCCTTATACCGAGAGTTTCTTAGTTTGGGAGTGGTGGGATTGGTGCTTGGAGGGAGGATTCTACTCTCCAGCATGGACTCTGGGACTTCTTTTGGTTGGTCAAATATGAGTGAGTAGCATCTTGAACCCTTGCAGGTCTGACAGACACTTCTGGTCTAGCAAATCCACAAAGAATCATGTCTGGAAGTATGTGTGCCCAAACACGTGTGTGTGTGTGTGTGTGTGTGTGTGTGTGTGTGTGTGTGTGTGTGTGTGTTCCTGAGCTGCTTCTTCACGTCCCTCGCACACGCATTGCTTTTAGGAAAGAGCCAGCAGAGCCCTGTCATAGCCAGAAACAGTCACCCATCCTGCCAGAATTGCCTTACAACCAGGAAGAATTCGGAATTGAGATCACTCTGAGCATATCCTCCTGAGAAGAGTAGTCATTTCTAGAAGAAGAAGAAGACAGGTTCCTGCGGGCTGGAAAGATGGCTCAGTGGTTAAGAGTACCAGCTGTCCTTCTAGAGGTCCTGAGTTCAATTCCTAGCATGTACATGGCAGCTCACAATCATCTATAATTATAGTTCGCATGAATTCTGATTCCCTCTTCTGGTGTGCAGATGTACATGCAGACAAAACACTCATACACATAAATTAGTAAATCTTATAAAAAATAAAAAAAACACAAGTCCCTGCCATACATAGCTTTTGTGGCCACCAATCTGTGAACAGTTCACAGCAAAGTGTGGGCTTCTCCAGTGTGTGTTCAGTGGCCTTCATGGACGTCTGTCTCCTCCACCTTCTCTACATACCTCTTCTAGAGCTTCCTATTTATTTTATTTTAATTTTTTAGGAGTTGAGGACCGAACCCAGGGCCTTGTGCTTGCTAGGCAAGTGCTCTACCACTGAGCTAAATCTTCAAACCCCTCTTCTAGAACTTTCTAATGAAGGTTACCACCTTATGGTCAGTTTCATACACTGGAACTCTGAGAGTGTCCCTTGATAGTTTCCATATCATTTCCCAAATCTGCACGCCCCCCCCCATGCACCCCAAACCCTGGAGATTATATTCCCTGCTTGTATTTCTTCACTTTTTTCCCCTTGCTGTGACAAAGGCTGGGGTACTTTTTAAAGAAAGTAAGTTTATTTATTTCATAGTTCTGTAGATTCCAGCGTGTAGCACCAGCATGTACTTGCCCTGATGAGGACCCTCTGGCTGCATCACATGGCTGGACAACATCATGCTAGACTCACATACAAGAGGGAGCAGCCACATGTTGACTTAGAGAAGTTCAGGAGCCAGCCTTACTGCCTGATAACAATTCACACTTGAAGGACTTAACCAGGACCCCTCAAGAACTATATGAAATCCTGCTAAGGCTGACTCTTCCATGATCTATCTTCCACATCTCCCAACACTACCACATTGAAGACCAAGCTTCCAACACATCAACCTTTGGAGGACACACAAAAATCATATTCAAACCAGAGCACTGCTTGTCACTCAAATGTCAGTTCAGACAGCTCCTCCCATCACCGTCTCTGATAGGTCCCCGCTTTCCTTCTTCCTTGGGATACTTGTCACATTTGTGAGGGCAGAGACTGTGGTTACATGTTCACTGTAGTCTCCCCAGTGCTCCAAACTGCCTGGGCATTGTTGGTGCTGCGGGAGGAATACTGGTCAGATAATTGAGTAAGTAGGTGAATGCATGCTACTTAATTTTTATAGTGCCTGTGTGCATGCATATGTGCCACGTGGAGGCCAGAGGACAACTCTGTGGAGTCGGGTCTCTCCTTCTACCTTTATGTGAGTTCCAGGATTGAACTCAAGTCATCAGGGTTAGCATGTACCTTGCCCCACTTATCTCCCCAGCCCTGGGTGCCATTTGGAGCCACAGTGGTTGTATCAAGTGGAGGCTTCCTTTGCAGAGTCCAAGGGCCACCTCAGAACAGGTGTTCTAGACCAGAGGCTTCTGAGGCCCAGAACCAGGCATCCCCCAGTGCCTTGGGTCTGGCTGCTAGCTCTATGACAGCATTCTCTGTGTGCTTTGCCATTTCCACCTACCCCCAGGACTTCCAGTTTTGAAAATTCAAGCCTGTAGATTTGAAGAAGAGTACAAGGACATACTTATCCCGTAACTGTTAACATATTGCTCCCCCTCTCTCCTCTTTCTCTCTCTACAATCGGCAAGCAAACTGCTGACATCTTGATACCTCACGTCCAAATCTATCAACATCTCCTAATAAGGTCATCCTGTCATGAAACCACAATGTTGCGATCGAAGCCATAGCAGCATACCATCTGCATTTGGGGCTCTGCAGATTTCCCCCAGACGTCTTTTACAGCGGGATCTTTTTTTTTCAAACCCTGCCCAGGATGCAATCAAGATTCGTGTGTGATGTTTAGCCATTGTGTCTTTAATCTAAATTAGATCTTCCCTTGCCTTGCTATTGCTGCTTCTTGCTTGTTTTTGTGACTTTCCCTTTTTGGAAGAGTCTGCATTAGTTGTAGACATGTCCTTATTAACATGGTTATTAGTGCAGAATCTGGCCTTAGGATTTGGGGCATCGGTTCACTCATTGCATCAGATAGAGATCAAATAACGTGAGATAGGCTGCTGGTATGATCACCAAGCCTCGCTCCATTCTTGTTCATAATCAATATGGGATCCTCCCAGGGTGAAAGGGTCAGTGGGGGGCCAGGTTACCCCTGTAACTGATGACACTTGGCTGGAGAAAATACTAGGGGCTACAGAATGAAGTTTCATTCCTCTTACATCTAGTTGGTTATTTTGTTTCTGCAAGAATTCCAATTAAATAACCAGGGAGCTGGGGAGCTGAGGTGGTAGCTAAGAGAACTTGCTGCTCTTGCAGAAGACCTGGGTTAGTTCAGAATCCTCGGTAACTTCAGTGCTGGGGATTTGATCACATCTTGACCCTGAGAGTGTTAGGCACATGTGTAACGCCTGGTTGTCCTTGTTCATTTTGGTGTTCCAACTGTCCCACCTTTGAGCAGCCTGAGGTCAGCTCCTGAATCGGTTTGGCAAGATCACATTTATCTTTGAGTCCTGTTTTACTTCTGGGTCAGACATGGTATTATAGGCTCAAGACATGCATCCTTAGCCCCAAACTTTGGATCAATCACTGTTTCAAGGAGCCTTGGTTTCTGTAGTGGTCAGGTGTATAGGACTCAGGGGCACCTGTGCCATGGTTACTAGCTTGTCAGAGCTTCTGTGGCCTTCAGTGGACAGAACTCGGAAATCATTCTGTTTCTAGTCATGAGTTCAAACTGGTCTCTCCACCTCAAATTTAACATTGTAGGGGTTTTCTCTAACTTTTACTTGCTGCTAGTGTCCTCTATTCCAGTAAAGAACATGTGTGTGTTTGTTTTATACTGTATCGTGCAGAAAAGAGTTTCAGAATTAGACCGGTATCAGTAAATCTACTACATACCAGATATCCTCAGAACAAACCCATCGTGTGCAATCAGAGTGCTTCAGTTGATTCCTGGATCGGTGTGGGTTTCAGTTTAATATAATATCAGTAGGGCAGTGCTGTGTTGGGGCTCTACCATCAGCCAAAAACACACTCAGCATACAACAGGATTCCAGCCTGTAGTCACCAAGTCAGTAAAATGGTAACAGAGAGGTCTCCTTTGCAGGAGACTGGAAGTTTCACTGCAGCCTCAGAAGGCAAAGGGGAAGGACATCTCCAGCCTGGGCGGAAAGAAGTTTCGGTCACTTCATACCCGCTGGGATGGCTGCAATCAAAAGGAAGGAAGGAAGGAAGGAAGGAAGGAAGGAAGGAAGGAAGGAAGGAAGGAAGGAAGGAAGGAAGGAAAGAAGGCAGGCACGCAGGCAAGCCAGCACCAGGGAGGCAGAGCCAGGAGCATTCTAAGGTCCCGGAAAGTCTCGCCTGTACTGAGAGACCTTCTCTCAAAAAGGAGATGTTCAGTTAGCAGGTGGAGAAACTGCAATACTCATACAGTGGCTGCTGGTGGTGTGAAATGATGTGGCCGGTGAGGGAACAGTTCTGCTGGGAAAACATGCTAGGACACACGCTTACCGGGTGCAAGGCTCAAGCTTTGCTCTCCAGTGTTCTCCAAAAGAAAATGTGTAAACAGTTACCATAAGATCTGGTCGCTCATTCCTAGGAACACTCTCAAAGAGTGAGTATGGGCATTCAAACAAAGATTTGCATCTGAGCATCTGAGCAGCACTGTTCACAAGACCAGACTAAACTATGGAAGATGCCCACATGTCCATCAGTTGGTGGATAGACAAACAAGCTACAGAACACCCATATGACAGATATTTAATCCTAAAAAGGAAACCAGTACTGAGTGGTTCTGGGAATGGATGAATCTTGAAGAGAAGCCAGCTACAAAAGGATCTGTATTGTACAATTCTATATACATGAGGCATCCAGAATGGGCAAATCCACAGACATGAAGCAGTTCCATGGCTGCTGAGGCTGAGGAAGGGAAATGAGAAGGGATTGATAATCAGGAATGAGGTTTCTCATAACACATACACAACCTAGTGAATGTCCTAAAGTTACTGAGTGTATACTTTAAAGTGATCAAAATGGACATTTTAAGTTGCATGAATTTTGCCTCAATGTTTAAAGAGCATGTGCTTTCTCGTGTGTGTATATATATATGAATAAAATGTGTATGGGTATTTTGCCTGCATGTGTGTCTGTGTGCCTGGATCAAAAGAGGGTATCAGATCCTCTGGAACTGGAGTTTCAGAGGACTGTGACTCACTGTGTAGGTTCTGGGAACAGAACTCACTGGAAGAGCAGTGAGGGCCCTTAACTGCTGAGCCACGACTCCAGTCTCCAGTCCCATGCACCCCATTGTTTTCTTTGAGATAGAGTCTCACCATGTAGCCAGCAATGGCTTTGAGCTTCTGATCCTCCTGCCCGTGTTCCAAGTGCTGGGATTACAGGTGTGAGTTGCCACGTGCAGACTAAATCATGTACTGTGATCAGCAGAAGGCACAGAAGTCAGCTCTCAGCTTGCAGCATGTCATAATCTGCCAATGCTAAAATCTCTTGCCCAAGAGGCACCTCCAAAGCTGTGGTTGCCCTGACAGACACAGGAGGGCCGATTGCAGGATGATCTCGCTCCCGCTCCGAACCTTGTCCTGCACTTTCTCATAACCTTCAGGATCAGGAGGATGTGGAGGATCCAGAAGGAGCTCCATATCCCCACAGCCCAGCAACAAGGCATGTCTACCCAGCATAGGTAGATTCCACAGAAACCCACCACCGGAGGGTTCCCCGTGAAGGGAAGAAAGTGAGTGGGGGGCTGTCGATGGGTAACAAAGTTTAGGGGGAAGCAAAGGAGGAAAATCAGAGTGTGTGGGTGTGTCAGTTATGTGAAAAGAGGTACACAGATACAAAAGAGAACTGGTGGGCGGGGGAGGCAGGGTGATGAGGCTTGTATACCTTGTCTCCATTTCACTTCAGAACCATACATATTTTAGCAGATTCAAAAGCTAAAACTGGACTTGGAAAGGATGGAGTAATGCAAAGAGACCCTACTCATCTGTTATGGAGTAAAGAGACACAGAGGTGGGGGGATATTGTTGACCAAAGTGAGGAGTGTGAAGTGCTCATGGAGACAGGTGACCTTTAGGGCTCTTGTGAAAATACTTAATGTGGTCGGCATAACCTGGCCGAAGCCTGCAACTCCAGATATCTTGACAGAAGCCACGTTAATGGGGAGAGCTGCCTTCTGACCACAAGACCCTCAAGGGACTTTTTCAGTAAGCCATTCTATAGCTCTATTTGGGCTTCCAGGGCTGGTGAGCTCAGGCCTTGAGGTCCCCCAAGGTAAGAATTACCACTTCCTGTAAAAAGTCACACGCGTCTTGGTTCCCACTATGGCCAAAAATCAAATCAGACGCTGCATATCTCACCCTCAAGTCCTCCACAGACAGTCCTTCAAATCCCAGGTACTTAGCAAGCATTTACATGGGTTGGAGGTGGATGATGAGTAGGGAATGGGGATAAGGTAGGCAGTGGGGGATGGAATGTGGTGGAGGATGGGGATGGAGGTTGGAGTGGGGGAATGAGGTGGGTAAGGATGGGGGAACAGGATAAGGGAATATGGCAGAGGGATGGGAATGTGGTGGAAGTGGGGGATTGGGTAGAAATGAGGGGTGAGGATGGGGGTGAGGTGGAGGGATGGGGATGGGGTGGGAGTTGGGGAGTCACCTGCATGGCTGGGTGATTTTAACCATAGACTTTTTCAGGGTTAACAGATTTGTTACCCAGCTTTTCTTGGCTGTGACAAAATATCTTAAAGGGAGAAATACTGATTTCCAAGGCTTCATTCAGTTCATGGTTGGCCCAGGCACTTCAGTGCCTGTGGTGGGAACATGGAGCATAAGAAGTTGTTCACCTCAAGGTGCTAGGAAAGAAAAAAAAATAGGGTAGGAGAATGGAAAGGGAGGAAGGATACAGGATTCTAATGTCCTCCCGCTTTAAAACAGAACATTTTATTTAGTTTATATGTATGATGGAAGGCGGGTGGCACAGGGCCGTGGCACATGAGTGGAAGTCAGAGGATGGGTTGCCCAAGCTGGTTCTTTGCTTCCACCATGTGGATCTCAGGGATCAAACTCAGGCTTGTCAGCGAGTGTCTTTACCTGATCAGCCATCTTGCCTAGACCCGGTATCCCTTTCAAGGGCACACCCTCAGTGGTATAAATTCTTCTATGCTGCTCCACCTCCTGATTTTTCTATCACCTCCAAAAGTGCCACAAGTAGGCAAAAGAAACTTCCATACATGTGACTTTGGGGAAACATTGTTACCAAAGTCATGAAGGGAAGACATTGGGACTTGGTAACTGTTACAAGTCAGGCTTTGACATTGGTCCCCAATAAGCCAATTAAAGAAGTGAAGTAAAAATGAAAAGCAGAGATTTATTCAATGTGATATTAGGATAGAAGGACAAAGAGGTCTAGTAGCCCCGCCAGTCCTCATTTGAGGTCTTGGTACAAGGTTTAGATTTAAATAGTGTCTTAGTGTTCTGTTGCTGTGAAGAGACACCATGACCATGGCAACTCTTATAAAGGAAAGCATTTGATTAGGGATAGCTTACAGTTTTAGAGGTCTAGTTCATTATTGTCATGGTGGGGAGCAGGGTGGCCTGCAGGCAGACATGGTGGTGGAGGAGCTGAGAGTCCTACATCCTGTTCTGCAGGAAGCAAGAAGAAAGAGACACTGGGACTGGTGTGAACTTAGATACCTCAAAGCACCCCGCCCCCAGTGACACACTTCCTCCAACAAGGCCTCTTAATCCCTCCCAAGTAGTGCCACTCTCTGATGACTAAGCATTCAAACATATGAGCCTATGTAGGCCACTCATATTTAAACCACCACAAATAGAAAGCAAGAGTCATGCAAGAGAAAAAGCTTTGCCACCAGAGTTAAGCCAGAGTGGAGATCAGCTGCATGGTAGACAAGCAGCCAAGTGGCAGGGAGGGGAGCATTAGAGAAAGAGTGGGAAAAAAAAACCAACCCAAAACCCCAGAAAAATCATACTGAGGCTCTGGCTGGTGTCTGAAAGACAGAAGAGAAGAAAAAGGGAGTTCTGTCTTTGTGGGTCAGGACTCAAAAAGATGGACACACTTAAAAGTATCTCATGGCAGCTATAGTGATTCTGGGAAGGAAAAATCCATGATCTCATTGTTTTGTTGTAACCCCTGCTTGCCCCGGCACAAGCAGAGACCTCATCTGCCCTACTTCCCCCAACCCTATCCACACTGAGAAAACTCTGAAAAAGGAATGGTACCAAAAGCCCAGGTCTGCATTTCTTACATGGCCAGTCCACCAAGTGCCCACTCAGAGGCATGGCTTTTGACCATACTTGGGCACAGTCCTAGCTCCTGGCTGACATGTCATCACCCCTCACCTAAGAGCTATAAAACCTCCCTGCCTTTGCTTAGGTGCTTGACTTCTCTGGCCCACGTCTTTGGGACTGGTGAATCCATCCAGGAACAACACCCGATAAACCTACATTTACCTGTTTTGTTTTGTTTTTGTTTGTTTTGGTTTTTTTGGTTTTTCGAGACAGAGTTTTTCTGTGTAGTTTTGGTGCTGTCCTGGATCTCACTCTGTAGGCCAGGCTGACCTGGAACTCACAGAGATCCACCTACCTCTGCCTCCTGAGTGCTGGTATTAAAGGCATGCAACACCCACCCACCCCCAGCTCATTTACCTGTTTTTAATCTGGTCTGATCTGCCCTTTTTCGATGGCAGAAACTTATCATTCATCAGAGGATTAATTATTCCTCTTACCTCTTTAGCACGGCTTAAGGTGAACCCACCTTCCTAAACAGTGGACCCTAAACCAGGTGACTGACACAGCTGGGTGAGCTCTTCAGGGAGGCAACAGCTGTCTCCACCCGGAGGCAGAGAATGTGCTTTTATCTTACTGGAGCACAACCAGAGTGTATCTCACCTGGAACCTCAGACTGGGAGCTTATTTAGGAACAAGGTCTTTACATGTATAGACCCGGTTATTAGTTAGGGTGAGATGAGATAAGAGGAGGATGCCACAGCAGCATGAAAGGCCCATTCAGGGAAAACTACATTTTTCTTTCCAAGAGAATGGAATCTCTGGCCCAGGTGGAGACCTACTACTCCAGCTAGGCAGGTCAACACCTGGCTAAGAGACCACCTTTAAGGCATGTTCACCTTAAACTATGCTAAAGAAGTAGGAGGAATAATTAACCCGCTAATGAGACAATTTTTTCTTTCCCAGCATTCCTACCTCCCAGCTTGGTCCCCTATGAGACTGCCAATTTGGCTAAGTCTGAGTCCTGACTCA